TTTTTTTTTTTTTTGAGGGATCATAGTTGACAGCAGAAGCTGCTTTAATATTTCTTTACCCAGTATTCTGAGGTGTCAACGATATAAACATCCGAAACCAGTAGCCTTTCTTTGATTACATTTTAAGCTTTTATTGCTGTCGTTTGTGTTGCAGTTGCCGCTATTGCAATTACTGCTACTGTCCTACGAATAAAATTCAAAGAGTGAATCAACAAAAAATGTATTTTGAGACCAAGCTAAAGCAAAAGCAAGACGGAAAGAAAAAAAGTGTGATAGAAGGATAAAAAAGGAAAACGAATAGATATAACGAAGTTAAAGCGGTTATTTATTTGTTTACAAAACACACTGGAGACAAAATTAGGGCTTTTTTACGTTTTTTTTTTTTGAACTTTCAATGCCAACAAGTTTTCTTTTTAGAGTTTGTATGTCAAGGCCAAAAGACTTCCTGAAAAGTTGACTAGTTTGAAATCTCTGAAATTTCCTTGATTAGAGCTATCCTGGAGAAAGACACTAAACGAATCATTTATTCTTAGCTTCGTTTGCGGTTAAGATATCCAAAATCGATTTGTGCTTGAAACTTTTTTGTTGCTCTTGTCGTTTTTCTTTTGGTGATAAACCTTTTGAGCAGTGGCAGTGGCAGCGGCAACAGCGACAACAACGACAATAACAAACAACAACAATAGCAGTAGTAGTTGGATGCACTTCAGTTTAACGATCCGTAGAGGATCCAGAGGTCGTATTAGTTTTCTGCAATCACTGGACAGCAACAACAATAGCTTTTTTTTTCTCTCCTTTCTTTTTTCGTTTGAGCTACAGCTTTTTTTGGTTTCTAAGCGATTTTAGATTAAAATATTCGACCACAAACAGTTATGGGAGCAAAGTGAAGAAAACGAAGTGTTGGAATGATAGAAGAAGGAGTGGATCGGAGTAAATAAACGTTAAGCTTTCAATTTGTGCAAATAGTTGAGAAACATAACATTGCAGCTACTTGTGTAATGTTTGCGCTTTTGCTTAGTTCTATCTATGCAACCTCCCTCTCCTCCTCGTTCTCCTCTCCTAAAAAACCCTACAAACAAAAATTTTATGTTTTTCAAATGAAAGAAAAAAATTTCTAAAATTACAAATAATTGCTGTAGTAAACCAAAAACCAGCTCAAACAATTTTTTTTGTTTTTTTTTCTTGATTTGTCAGTGTTTGAAAATTGTTGAGCACTGTTAGTGTAGACGGTAATGGAAATTGATTAAGCTTCTGTAAATTTGCTGAAATGCTACTAAAAAAAAAAATAAAGAAAAAAAGACAGAAGGTGGAAAGAAAAACGAAAATCAAAAAACTACCAATCAACAGGTATTGTACAGTAGGGTTCCAGGATTTTATAAAGTAAAAAACTTTCTTAACTTTGTCTTTTTTTTTCTTATTTTTGCACTAAAAAATTTTTCAACGGATAAACCACTTAGTTGTTGTCAGTCGATTTTGCTACTGATGGGTAAGAGTTAGGTCAAAAATTGTTCAACATTTTTAGTGCTAAGCGTAAATTGTTAAATTCTGCCGAAAGGCTGTATAACTGCTGAATTAAGAAAATTGTCGATGAAGCATTAGTTTTATAAAATCTTTTAGTTAGCATTAACATTGTCTATTTATTGCCTATTTGTTCGGCTGCATTAGCAAGTTTCCTTTATTTTTTCATGTTAGTTACTGTTAGTAGATTCTTCATGAGTCGTCGAATAAGCCTGGTTTAGAAAATATTCAAGAAGATGACAGTACACTGCTTGTATAAAAGACACTAGAAGAAGAATAAAAAGACTGTCTAGACACTATCAGCATACTATTATATATGTTTTTTTGAATACTTTATTTCAATTAGAGCGATGAAGACAATGATGCATATGTGTAAGAGGTATATTGGAAGAAAAGTTTGGATTTCGAGGAGTTAGGCACAAAAATGCTCACTTATTTGCTACAGAAAACAGTAGCGTCTTCAGACTAACCTATCAGACAATTTCTGTCATATAGTTTAAGGCGTGTTTCATCAGCTATCGAGAATCTTAGACTTGCCGAGCAGAGTATTGCTGCCACTGATCTGCTGCAGTAGTGCAGCCAGAAAACAGGCCCTTAGAAATCATAGTGAACTGCTAAGATTCTTCTTTTTGACGTTGTCTTTGGGTGTTGTAACGTGTATTTCTTTATTTCTATAATAGGATTATTTTGGAAAATTATGAAAAAAAATTTTTTTTGGGAAAATTTGAAAAGAAGTTACGCAGATTTGGATGTCTCTAAAGTACTTATATTAGCCTTTGGTAGAAATTTTTTTTACTTTTCAACGTTTGTAGAACTAAGTTAGCCTAAATTTCTGTAATTTATTTATTTATGAATAAAAGCAGCTATATTTTTGATAATCACATTCTGCCGCTGTGTGGCAGTTTACTCAGTTATTTTTTTGTTGTCAGATAAGCGATGGTCAGAAGCAGCAGTTTAGTAGCAATATTCTGCATATCCTACGAAACGTTATAATTTTAAATCTAAATATATTGGATATTGCTATTCTGACATAAATATTGCAACACTAGACGTATTAAACTGACACTGTATCTGAGAAGACACAACTAGTACTTAAGAATCGTTTAAGTGTAGATTATTTAAGGTGAATGAACTTGATGCTAATATGCTAAAAATTATCTCATTAATGATAACTGTTTTTAGAAGGCACCTGAAAGTGGTGCAAACGAAAATTAGCAGCAGATACATTAGACAGACTTTTATTAGAAAAACGTCAGGATTAAATTTTCAAAAATTTCAGGATCTCTTATGAAGAAGCCTCGTCTTGGGCAACATCTTTTGATCGATTGATGAACCACAAAGGTATGAGTGAGTCATCTGCTAATAAATGTCATAATATAGAAGCAGGAACTTCTTTAAATTTTTCAAATATAATGATTATAAAAAACAGACAAGTTTAAGTTTTGCTGGCATTTTTTAAGTACAGTACTATCATTAGGTCATGCGTGATCACCTAATCAATCTAGTACTCAGCAGCTTGTTGATGATAACGTGAGAAAAACAGCAGAAGAAAGCGACAGTATTGGCAATAATGGCAGTAGTAATAACTTCGCCAGAATATACCCATAATACAAAAGCGATTCTTAATGTGATACCAAAGTAAGAAAAATAGGAGAAGAACCAGAAGAAGAAGGAGAAGAGTGAAAAAAGTAGAAGAAAAAATCGTTTTTGATGTTTCATTTTAAAATTTTCTCAATAACTGTCGTATTCAACGACAACAACTACAAATGATGATTGATTCAGCACATTTGAAGAAGACGTTAAAAATTTGTTTGTACGTAATTTGAAAATAAAAATTCAATCATACAAACTCTTTGATTGCTGGCTGAAAACGGTTGTGGAAAAGAGCTGACGATGAGAAACTAAATGATGTGGGGACGAAATTTTGTAAATGCTGCTACTGCTGCTGTTACCGACGTTATTCCAGTTACCGGTGAAAGAAGGGCGAGATGAAGAGGAGGCTTAAGTTTTGATGACATTTTGAGGTCAAACCTGAAAAAACCTGCTTTTCTGTACGTGTGTGTATATAAATGCTAACCGATCATTGCCAATGTGACGTTTCTTGGTTAGGTAATCAGTCAGTTATTTATCCAATCAGTCAGTAATGTTTTTCTGGTCGCCTCTACGACAAATATTGTTATTATACCTGTCAGCAGCGCTACTGTATTTGAAGAACTTTGATGAAGGCTTTGGGACTCCTTCAGCGTGCTGTGTGCCAACGTCTATTATTATTGTTGTCTCCCAGTGATCAAAGTACTGAAGAGACTCAGATTTCAGTGGTTCTGTTAGCAAACATCAACTGATTGTGAAGAGGAAGGATGAATGAATGAATAAACACACAAAACAAAATAGAACAAAAAAAAAAGTGAAAGAAGTTGAGGATTGCAGAATTTTTTTTCTTGTTTATTTGCTTTTTTACTCTATTATTCTTTAGCGTTTGTTGTTGATTTGTAACTGTCGTTTTTTTTCTTTTCAGGCGGTCAAAAATATTTTGCAGAATTCTTGAAGAGTGAGTATAGTGATGAGAATATTTTATTTTGGCAAGCATGTGAGGAGTTGAAAAGGGAAAGGAATCCTGAAAAAATTGAAGAAAAGGTAAATGGATCTTTTGTTTTTGTTCTGTCATTGCTCAGTTTTCGCGTATCGCTTCTAAACCCTCTTCTCCTCCCTTTACTTCACCGCCGAAATCACCAATTTGATCAACATGACAAAAAAAAAAAGAAAAAAAAAGAAGAAAAAGGAGTGCTTTGGTAGTCAAGTTACCGTTTTATTTGTTTGTATGTTGATGTGCATCGGAGGTGTAGGTGATCGTTATGAAAATAAAAGTTGGATGAAATTGTTTTTGAAGGAGAAATCTGGAGTTATGGAGCTGAGAAGAGGACGGGGAAAGAAAATGGAGGAGCGGGGAGAGGGTGAGAGGCGGGACGGACGGAGAAAACGGGTGGAGGGATAAATGGAAGACAGATTGAAATTTAGTGAAATGAGCAGAGGAAAGTTGTGTTC